CTACAAGTCTCTTAGCTAATTATTGAACCTATAGGTTGTAGGAACCCCTAATTTAAGCTGGTTTGTCAGAAACACATGAGATCAGACTTGTGATTGGTGTCTGAAGTAGGGAGTAGTTTTATGGGACTGAGCCCTTAGCCTGTGGGGTCCGTGCCAACTTCAGGCAACGTCATAAGTGAACTGCAACCAGTTGGTATCTGGAGAACTGGAGTGCAGATGGTATAGAGATAACCCACACATTTGGTGTCAGAATGGGTATGAGTAGACAAAACAGGGTTTCCTTTTATATGTAAAGAGCTTAGCGAAGGCTGATACATAATAAGCATTCAGCAAATATCAGCTACTTATTTCTATTTCTGCTAGTCTTAAGATCCTACAACCAAATCTTACATACATCTTCTCAAAGGTTCTCTCTTTTGCTGTGTTATTAGCTGTCATACTAAAAATAGGCATACCTACACAGGCATAACTTGAAAAAGCTACTGTGGAAACCAGCAACGAATGACGAAAAACACATACTTGGAATGAGAAGACCTCATTTCTAGTTCTAGAAATGTCAACTTAGTTTTCTCGAAAGCAAAAATGGGCAGGAGGAAGTTAATTAGATCATCTCAGAACCATTGACTCTCGACTTCAAGGGTCTGTAATTTACTACATGTTTCCATTTTTATTGTTTATTCTCAGAGTCCCAATTTTCCCAAATATAATGTGAAAATGACAACAATCCTCATCCTGATCACCTCCAAACATTGTCGTGAGAAATAAATCAGTACCAAAGTCATTTAAGCCTGTGAAGTTATCTACCGCATACAATTTTATTATTCAGATGCTTGTAGAGCCAGCCAGTGGCATGATGGTTAAAGGTGGCTGGATCCCACATGGCCCATCATGCAATTCAAGTCCTAGACTTGGCGGTTAAAAAACACATTAGGTGCATGTGTGTGTGCCCAGAATCCCCAAAGTGGGGAGAGATGGAGAAAGGATTGCAATGTGAACATGCCCCATGGGCTGTGATTTCTTTTCTTTTTTTTTTTTTTTTTTTGGAGAGATTTTCACTGTAGGGCGCGTGCGCTCGCCAGACAGACAGAGAGAGACATAGAGACAGAAAGCGAGAAATCACCCCCCAGGGGGGATGGTCACGCCGCAATCCCTTCTCCTCCATTCTCCTCTCGGGATCTTGGGCACGCACGCACACGTGCCCGGCGTGAGTTTTAAGCCACCGGGTCCGGGACACGAACCGCGGTCGACTACGTGGGAGTCCAGCGACACAGCCATTACGCTAACTGCTGGTTCCCATGGGCTGTGATTTCTTACTTTCTTTCCTCTTTCTCTTTATTGTTCTCTGTCTCTCTCTCTGGAGAGTGCACAAGCCCTTTAGCAAATTAAAAAAAAAAAAAAAAAAGCAACATTAATGCATTTTTTAGGTACACCAAACTGCTGGTTCCCATGGGCTGTGATTTCTTACTTTCTTTCCTCTTTCTCTTTATTGTTCTCTGTCTCTCTCTCTGGAGAGTGCACAAGCCCTTTAGCAAATTAAAAAAAAAAAAAAAAAGTCACATTAATGGCTTTTTTAGGTAAACCATTGGCCAAATCAAATCCTCTGGAAAAAGCCACATAGTGTAAATAGTTGATATTACAGAAGAAATGCTTTTATAAAAGGAAAGGGATATATTGGATTGTCAGAAAAGGCATGACACATTTTTGCATAGAAAAATACATCATGACTTTTCCAATGACCCAATGAAAACTGATGGGAGTTGATTCCACTGATCTGTTTACTTCAAAAAATTACTACATATAGTTAGTAAGGGTCATAAATTACAGTAGCTTAATTTAAAAGATTAACTGAAATGTGAATAAAAGGTCAAAAAATATTCAGCGACTCAAATAGCCTACAAAGTAACAGCAGTTAAGGATCATCTCATAACAGCACGCAAATGTTTCATGTTCAAATACTAGTCAAACTAAAAAGAAAATGGATACTGATTGCTCACCTTATCTTGTAAGGAAAAGGTCCCAGGAAAACCAGCAAACAGAAACTTGTTTTTGACTTTCAACTTCCCCAAATTTGCTACAATCAGATTATTTGATCTAGAGCTTTCTGGGACAAGAAGAACGGGAGCACCAGCCTCGATATCCAGGAGAACCCGTGAACAGCGCTGGGCTTGATCTCTCACCTGAGAAACAAAGAAAAATGGCTCAAAGGCTTAATTAATTCAATAATTTTACAATCAAATAACCTCAGGCTCCCAAAAGTTTCATGAATTTATAAAACAATTAACATCACACAGAGAATATTTTCTTAAAACCATGGAGTTAAATTAGAAATCAGTGGGCCAACAAGTGGCACAATAGATTCCCACATGACAGACCATGGTTAGAGTCCCAGATCTAGTGGCTTAAAAATCACAACAAATAAATAGATAAATAAATGTTTATTAAAAGGAAAAGTCAGGGGCCAGCAGATGGTATAATGGTTTCATCACTGAACTCCCACACAGTTGACCATGGTTCAAGTCCTGTATCCAGTGGCTTAAAACTCATACCGGGCACATGTGTGTTCATGCTCAAAACCCTGAGAGGAGCATGGAGGAGAAGGGATTACAATGTGGCCATCCACTCCAACGGAAGATTTCTCACTTTCTGCTTCTCTCTGGAGAACACACATGCCCTATATCAAAAATCTCTCTTGGGACCAGCAGTTAGAGTAATGGCTATGTCACTGAACTCCCATGTAGCTGACTGTGGTTCGAGTCCCGGACCCAGTGGCTTAAACTCATGCCGGGCGTGTGTGCGTGCATGCCCCAGATCCCAAGAGGAGAATGGAGGAGAAGGGATTGCAGCGTGGCCATACACCTGCGGGGTGATTTCTCACTTTCTATCTCTCTGTCTCTCTCTGTCTTTCTGGCAAGTGTATGTGCCCTATAGCAAAAACCTCTCCAAAAAAAAAATCTCTTAAAAAAAAAAAAAAGAAAGAAATCAGTAACAAGGAGATAATAAAATCCTCAAATGCTTGGAAATTAAATTATGCACTTCTGAGACCAGCAGTTGGCATAATATCTATGTCACTGGACTCCCATGTAGTCGACTGAGGTTCAGGTCCCAGACCCAGTGGCTTAAACTCACGCTGGGCGCATGTGCATACGTGCCCAAGATCCTGAGAGGAGAATAGAGGAGAAGGGATTGTGGCATGGCCATGCCCCCTTGGGGGTGATTTTTCACTTTCTGTCTCTTTGTCTCTCTCTCTGTCTTTCTGGCGAGCACATGCACCCTATAGCAAAAGCCTCTCAAAAAAAAAAAAAAAAAAAAAATGACACACTTCTAAATAACTCAGGGATCAAAGAGAAAAATCAAAACAGAAAAATATTTTCAGCAAAATGATAAAGCAAATAATACATTAACACTCATGAGATACACATAAAACAATGATTAGTAAAAATGTTCACTATTAAATTCTTACTTCAAAAAAATACAGATTTAAAAATCAATAACAGAAGCTTCTACTCTAACAAGCTAGGGGAAAAAGCAAACCAAACATAGAATAAACAGAAGGAAGAAGATAATAAACCAATTAAACATTTACAGAACACTGTAACCCAAATCCATGGAATATATTCTTTTCAAGTACAAATGGCATATTTTTTAAGAGTGTGCCTAGGCCATAATGCAAACCTCAGTAAGTTGGTTATCTAAAAAGACTGATAAAACTCCTAGCCATATAGACCAAGGAAAGTGGGGGAGGAGGGGGACAAAATTCACCAATATTCGAAAATGAATGGGGGACAACGATTCAGAATTATGGATGGAAAAGATAAGGGACCCTTATCAACAACACTCAAAAAAATAAAAACTACCTAGAGCTAACATATTTAATGAATGACTTAAATGTTTTCCCCAACTACCAAAGAGCAAAGCAAGGATATCCACTCTTCACTATTACTATTTAACATTATACTAAAAATCTTAGTCCATGTAAAAAGGTAAGAGAAAAAAAGAAAAAGTTGAGAAGAAAAATGTAAAACTCTTGAGACCAGCAGATGATTAGCATAATGGTTGTGTCACTGAACTCCCACATAGTCATTTGCAGTTCGAGTTCTGGTCCCGGAGATTTAAAGCTTATGCCTGGTATGTCTGTGTGTGTGTGTATCCAAGATCCCAAGAGGAGAATGGAGAAGGGACTGTGACATCCCCCCGAGGGGTGATTTTTCACTTTACCTCTCACTGTCTCTCTGGCAGGCGCAGGTGCCCTGTGGCAAAAACCTTAAGAATAAATTCAAAAAAAAAAAAAAAAAAAAAAAAAAAACGGCAGAGCAATGAATGCAGATAAAACCTAGACTCCAGATTTTTGGTCCAAGATTTCTTTCTTTATTTTTTTTTTGAGAGGATTTCACAATAGGGCTCATGCGCTCGCCAGACAGACAGAGAAAGACAGAGAGACAGTAAGAAATCATCCCCCAGGGGGGATGGTCACGCCACAATCCCTTCTCCTCCATTTTCCTCTCGGGATCTTGGGCATGCACGCACACGTGCCTGGCATGAGTTTTAAGCCACCGGGTCCGGGACGCGAACCGTGGTAGACTACGTGGGAGTCCAGTGGCATAGCCATTATGCTAACTGCTGGTCCCCAAGATTTCTTTTTTTTTTTTTTTTTTTTTGAGAGAGAGATTTTTCCTCCAGGGCACAGGCTCTCACCAGAGAGAGAGGGACAGAAGGCAAGAAATTGCCCCTCCAAGGGAAGTAGCCACGCCTCAATCCCTTCTCCTCCATTCTCCTCTCGGGATATTGGGCACACATGCATATGCAACCAGCATGAGTTTCAAGCCTCTGCGTCTGGGATTCAAACCAAGGTCAGCCATGTAGGAGTCCAGTGACGTAGCCATTATGCCATCTGCTGGTCTCTTGGCCTATGATTTCTAAATTGTAATATCATTTCTTGGCTCCACTAAAAATCTGCATTCCCAACTGCATAGTAAATGAAAAAGTCTAACAAATATAAAAGACTATATGTAAGGAGGAAGACATAAGAAAACTATCATACTTCTGGGGTAAAATATAACCAAAAATGTCGTATTTGGCCAAATCAAATTAAATACAGTTGATATTCTCATCATTTGAAATATCAAGATTAAAAGGAAAATTAAAGTCCCACTGCATCATGTTTTGTTTTTGTTTTTCAATTTTGCTATAGGGTACAGGAGCTCGCACGACACAGGGACGGAGAGAGGGAAAACGAGAAATAGAGGAGAGGGGATTGCAGCATGACCATTTCCTTTTGGGCGGTGCTTTTTCCCTCACTCTCTCTCATCTCTCTGCCACTCTCTGGTGAGTTATGCACCCCTCTGGCAAAATTAAAAGGAAAGAGAGAGAGAGAGAGAGAGAGGAAAAGGAATCACGATATGTCTGCGTGTATATATACAAGGCATGTGTACACACACACACACACACACACACGATTATAGCCATGGAAAATGTATGAAAAAATAGAAGTAAATTAAAACATAGCTATAGTGCTAGAAGACTGGTAAAACCATACAAGTCTCTTTTCCAGATTTTAAAAAATATATTCCCTGGAAGATACTCAGGAAATTAGTAACAATGATTGCTTCCGGAAAAAGAAATTGGATACTTGAGGAAAAATAAATAGGTAGACCTTTTCACCAAACATCCGTTTTTATTCTGATTCTGTACCAAATCAATATATATCATATTCCAAAAAATTATATTTAAATTAAACTTAAACACACAATTTCATTTTTTTTGAGAGAGTTTTTTTTTTTTTTTCTTTTTTCTGGAGAGGTTTTTGCTAAGGGGCGCGTGCGTGGGCCAGAAAGATAGAGAGACATAGAGACAGAAAGCGAGAAATCACCCCCCAGGGGTATGGCCACGCCACAATCCATTCTCCTCCATTCTCTCAGGATCTTGTGCACGCACGGACACGCACCTGGCGTGGGTTTAAGCCACTGGGTCCGGGACTCAAACTGCAGTCAACTACATGGGAGTTGAGCAACATAGTCATTATACTAATTGCTGGTCCCAAGAAAGAGATTTTTGCTATAGGGCATGTGCGCTCACTGGAGAGACAGACAGAGACAGAAAATGAGAAATCACCCCCCAGGGGGAGGTCCACATTGCAATCCCTTTTCCTCCATTATCCTCTCGGGATCCTGGGCAAACACACACAAGTGCCCAGTGTGAATTTCAAGCCACCAGGTCCGGGATCAAACTGTAGTCAACCGTGTGGGAGTCTAGCAATGCAACCATTATACCATCCACTGGTCTCTTAAATGCAAATTTTAAAAATATTGCCATTATAAAAAGAGTACCTCTTTCTTAAATTATAATCTTTTACCTAGTAAAGCTTTTTTAAATACAGGAAAAATAAATTTTGCAAATAACTACATTGTAATTGCTTTCTGTGGTTACCAAGCTGCAGCAATACACCAAGGAACACTACAATGCACTCATAAGGGTATCCCAAAGACACTAAATTTTTTTTTTTTTTTGGAGAGATTTTCACTGTAGGGCGTGTGCGCTCACCAGACAGACAGAGAGAGACATAGAGACAGAAGGCGAGAAATCACCCCCCAGGGGGGATGGTCACGCCGCAATCCCTTCTCCTCCATTCTCCTCTCGGGATCTTGGGCACGCACGCACACGCGCCTGGCGTGAGTTTTAAGCCACCGGGTCCGGGACGTGAACCGCGGTCGACTACGTGGGAGTCCAGCGACATAGCCATTACGCTAACTGCTGGTTCCCAAGACACTAAATTTTTTTAAGTTATTTTTATGAATAGAGTGTATACACATATGAAAGAGGAGGGGAATCCTCAAAAGGGTCTCATTGCACAGCAATTCCTTTTCCCTGACTCTCCAGTTCATCAGAATCTTGAACAAACATGAAAGCACACATTTCCGGTCATCCTAGATATTTAATCCTTTAATGGCTATATGTTTTCTAGCACTGCAGTTCAGTTTGTTATCAGCTGTGTTACCAGGACAGGCCAACATTTTTAATTTTTGAGAGAAATGATATTTGACAGACACTACAGAAACTACTATTAAATAGCCTGAGGGCCAGCAGATGGTGTGGAGGTTAAGGCGGCTGGGTCCCATATGTCGACCGTGGGGTACAAGTCCTGGACCCAGGGACTTGAAAATCATGCCAGGCATGTAGGTGTACATGCCCAAAATCCTGAAAGGAGAATAGAGGAGAAGAGATTCTGACATGGCCATACTCTCTGGAAGGGGTGGGAGAGGAGGATGATTTCTCACTTTCTAATCTCTCTCTCTTTCCAGCAAGTGCACATACTCTCTAGTAAAAAGGAGAAGGGGGAAAAAAAAAAACCGACTAACTTGAGGTAGTTCAAATTTAATATTAGATAATACTACATTCTTTCAATGAGGCTGTATTTTTGCAAAGCTGAGTATTTAGCAGTTGCTATGGTTTAAAAACATGTATCTTGAGAAAAGAGATATGGAACAGAAAATGAGTATGATTCCAAGTTGGAGAAGCTATGTAGTGCCCAAGAGGCACATACATGCTGTCAGTAAGTAACTTGTTATTTAAGAATAAAATAGGGCCAGGCCCATGCCTAGTGGTTTAGGGAACCAGATCCCACATGCCCAATCACCCAGTCTGAATCCTGGCCCCAGAGGCTTAAAAAATGAGTCAGGCCTGCCTCAAATCCTGATAAGCTAATGAAGGAGGAAAGACTGCAGCATGACCATGTCCCACTTGGGGGTGCTCTCTCTCTCTGTCTGTTTCTCTCTGGCGAGTACACACACCCTCTGGCAATAAATAAATAAATATTTGTTCAATTTATGTGTTATTATTTTTTTCAAACAACTATTAAGTTACTAGGATACATGTACTTATTAAGTTGTTCAGACTTAATTACCTTGTAAATGGAAAAACCAGTAGGTGTTTCTTTTGACCTCGTATGCGCCATGAAGAAAATCACCAAAGCATTCAGGGTGCCATGAACTGAGAAGTTTAGGAACTTCTAATCTATTTGGAAACAACCTACCATTTTCCAAAAGAAGTATCCTTACTTAAGGTCAAAAGAGAACAGAAGTCTTCAGTGTTGTCCATAATTTCCCTGATCTTTTCTACAGAGAGCTAAAGCTAAAGTTTCAAGGTAACTGAAGTGTGATACAATAAGAAACAAAGCTCTCCAATTACACTAAGATTTTTGGAGGTAATCTGCAACACAGAGGACACACTGGTAAAAGTACGTTACCTCACACCAAGAGGAGAATGAAAGAGAATGGATTGTGGCTGTGTCCATCCTCCCTGGGGGGTGATTTCTTGTTTTCTGTCTCTCGAGAGTACACACACCCTACACCAAAAATCTCTCAAAAAAAAAGTTTTATTGATTAGTCAAACCAGAAAACCAGGTTGGAGAAATGAGGCTACCTACCGTCTGCCCCTCAATAGCAGCTCGCTGGCGGCCTAAGACATCCTGCAGCTGAGTGAAGTGCTGGATGAAGGCCACCACCTCAGCCTGAAAGCGCTGGGTGTGCACATACTGCACGGAGGCCATCTGCAGGCTCACTCGGATGTCGTGTTCTCTCCGAAGCAGAGGGTCTGGCCGTCCGTACCTAGGAGTAGGACAAAGATGTGGCTCAGACAGCAGCAAGATAAAAGTAATCTGAAGAAACGTTTGGTTGGTTAAGGAGCTTCCCCAGAAACAGCTTTAATTATTAAAATGGAAATCTGCAAATTAGGAGCCACAGACATCTGGGTTTAAAAAAAAGTAGAGACCAGCAGATAGCCTAATGGTTATGTCACTGTTCAAGTCCCAGACTGGTGGCTTAAAACTCATACCAGGCACATGTGCGTGCATGCCCAAAATCCCAAGAGTAGAACAGAGAAGGGACTACGGTGCGGCCATCCCTCCTGCAGGGTGACTTTTCACTTTCTGTCTCTCTGTCTCTCTGGTGAACGCATGTGCCCTACAGCAAAAAAAAATCTCTTAAAAAAAAGTAGACATTTGAACCAATGTTTCTGGGTAAAACTGTACTCTGAAGACAAAAAGAAATCTGTTTCCTTCAATGGAATGTCAATTAAAGTGTTTTAGAAACTATATTCAAAGATAAATTAGAACAATTTTACAAACTGTTTTGAATTTAATGGAACGTGATGCCATAAGATCAAATTATGATATAGTCATTGAAGAAAGGAACTCACATTAGCTGAGCACCTATTTTGTCAGGCAGAGAATTAAGAGTTTTATGCTAATTATCTCATTCATTATAGATACATGTTATTATGGTATATAATATAAACAACCCAGCTAAATTCTCAGTAGCATATGCTACTGAGAAAAAGTCCTCAGACATCTTTTTTTCAAACCTTCCTGAACATTAGCACATTAAAAAATAGTGAGTGAGTACCACCCTAGACAAATTAAATAAAAATAGTCTGAGGAAGAAATGGACATTCGTGTTTAATCTCAAAGACTGAAAACCACCATTTTAAGCTCTTTGTCTTCTGAGAAAACCATTCTTTAATAACCAGACAGGCCTAAGAATGCCTTCTAAAATCTAAAATAGAATTCAATATGGGTCATGTTATAAACAAATAAAAATACATAATAGAATTTAATGCTCAGCAACATCCTCAGGCTGAAATCATTCCAGTACTTTTACAGCTAACTTACAAATTATCTAACAGTCCCCTCAACAACTAGATAAAAAAACTGATACATGGAGATGAAGTGACTTGCCTCAGGTGACTTAACCAATCAGTGGAAGATCAGCATGGAGTACAGGCCTTTTCATTGAAATCGTTTCAACCATACCCCAACCCCCCTGAGCAGCCCACTTCAACACAGTTCCATTTTAATGGAATTTAATATAAATCAAGACTTCTCATAACGAGGTCTTTTCAATCTTACCGAATAAGGTAAACATTTGTAAAATTTGTCCTCATTGTTCAACCAACAAGAATTTGAAACAGCAAGTGATCATGACAAAATATCAAGTGAGAGGAAAAAGAAATCAGTATTTGTACTTAAAAGTCTGGAAGATGAGTGCCTCGTCTCCACTTGTTGTAAAGCGTTCTCTGTAGAATTCTCCATGAGACGTAAGGTCACTTAGAGACAGACTCCCAATACTTCCCTGTAAGGCCAGATCTCCCTCTAGGGATATAAAATTAAAATAAATTACTATATATTTTTTGGGCATACATCTTAAATATGTCTGGAACAAAAACTAACATACACAGACTTACACTTTAAAAAAAAAAAAGAATTATTTATTTTCCCCAGTTTGCTATAGGGCACATATGCTTACCAGAGAGACAGAGAGAGAGAGAGAGAAAGCCACCATCTCCAGGAGATGAATCATGGTTGGTCATATGGGAGTCCACTGCCCTAACCACTATACCACCAGCTGGCCCTGACAGACTTATACTTTTTAATAAAACTAAACATCAAAAGCAAATTTTCATATTCCAATCCATCTAGAAAAAATATTTTATTCAGGGGCCAGCAGGTGGCGTGGCGGTTGAGACAGTGGACTCCCACGTGACCAGCTATAGTTCGAGTCCTGTATCTGAGGCTTGCTTGCTCACTTTCTCTCTATCTCTTTCTCTGGTGAGCACATATGTTCTAAACAAAAATAATAATAACAACAATCATTTTTAAAAATGTTATGCAATATTAAAAAGTCTCAATGTGGAAATGCAAAGGGGATCAAGATAATATAGCAATATTACACATTAACATTTACAACGGGGAAAAAATAAAATAAATGCATATACAATTTAAAGGATAAATTATTTATAAATATAGATAGAAACATCTTTCTGAGATTACACCACTAACTAGAATTAGTGAAACATCATAAGGTCATTCATTATACTATGGATAAAGCAACAAAGTAGGAGTGCCAGATATTCGGGCAACATTAAGTGGGTTTAATGTGATGTTACACAAGAACATAATCAATGAAATAGATCTGAATCTACTCTAATATGAGTAAAGCTCACAGGAACAAGGGTGTAGAAAGAAAGGATAGTGAAACTTGTATAACCGGAATGTGAGCCTATAATGAATCATTCGTAACACTGTGTGGATACCGGAAAGAAATACTGTGAACTGTTTTTTCAGTAAAACAAAATTTATCATCATAAGTATCATTATAGAATAGTTACTAAGGTGTATATATCTGGCATGTTAGTTGAGCTCTCAATAAATCAAAGACACAGACTCATTTTTAATTCCTAATGTCCTCTAACTGAAATACTTAAGTGTCTCCCGGTCTTAAAGATCAATCTCATCTAGGAAGTGTTCCTAAAATAATTTATACCAGGCATGAAATCTCAATTTCAGTTCATTCTTTCCCCAAAACATATTGTTTTTCCTACAGTATCAACATTTGAGCTTTGTTATCTTCGCTATGTAATTACATGTTCCTTAAAGAAGGAATAGTGTTTTAATTCACAATTTATAAATCCCTACTATTTAGAACATGTTGTAGTTGATCAGTTGTATTCTACTAAGAACTTCAACATACGAAGTCTCATTAGAAAGAATGCCAGGCCCAGCAGGTAGCATGGAGGTTAAGGGGGCCAGATCCCACATGGCCGACTGAGCAGTTTGAGGCCAGGAACTGGAGGCTTGAAAAAGAGACCAGGCGCATGCTCATGCATGACCAAAGTCCAAAGAGAAGAAGAGAAAAGAAGGGACTGCAGTGCAGCCATCTCCCCCGTGGGGGTGATTTTTCACTTTCTCTCTCTCTCTGTCTCTCTCTGGTGAGTACGTGCACCCTATAGCAAACTATTAAAATATAAATAAAAGAAATGAAGAATGCCATCTCTGCTACATTATCCTCCTGCATAAAACCATGCCCTCATGGTGGCTCCCCTATTTAAGACCATAGATAGCATAAACATATCTCCTGGTTGCCCAGAGACAGTCCTGTTATATGCCTGTTCTCCAAGTGTAATTATTAAGAATGCCCCCTTTCACTCTCAAATACCCAAATTTGGATCAAAAAAAAAAAAAAAAAAAAGTCATATGGTTACTCTACACACAGTCTGTTAAAAACACAGATAGATGCAAGGGCTCCATCCTAATCTACTGAATCAGTCTTCAGGTGGAGACAGAAGAGTGAAGGTGGTGAAATCTGTGCCAGACATCTGCATTTTTTTTTTTAGAGAGATTTTTACACTTGCCAGAGAGACAGAAAGTGAGAAATCATCCCCCTGGGATGAAGGCCATGCCACAATCGCTTCTCCTCCATTTTCCTCTTGGGATTCTGGGTACAAGTGCATGCGACCAGCATGAGTTTTAAGCCACAGGGTCCAGGACTCAAACCATAGTCTACGACACCTGGTAGTCCAACAACGTAACCATTATGCCATCTGCTGATCCCCCAGACACCATTTCTAAAGATATGCAGACGATTCTGATCCATAAGTCAGTTTTGGGAACCACCACTATGTATCATGGACAGACAATAACCAGTTAAGCGACAGATCTGCACCTTACTTAGCATGTGAGGACACTCAGATTTGTGAACAGGATGTTCACATGTTTCTCAGATTTTGCAAGTTCAATTTTTTCTCACTTACCAATCATTTCCAGGTGTGCTACTAATTTGGACACATTCGCTTTAGCAAGCTCACTGGTGGTCTTGTTCAGCACAAGAGAGAGTGAATGAACCTGCAAATGCAGAAGATAAAGCAAGGCAGATATTATTGGGATGAGAAGAGTATCTTTCAGGGAAACAGCAGAACAAAAGCAAGATACAGAAATTTTTCATTTCACTTCAGCTCTGTTAGACCAGTCAAATCTGAACTGATGACAGAGCTAATAAAACAGGAACTCAACTCAGGGCAGTCAAATCCCAGGATCTATTCTGCATTAGTGAAATGTTTCACATTATAAAATATTCTTTCTTATTTCAGCATTCATATTGAACAATTCTGAAACAACTCAGATTATTAAGTAAGTAAAGCCTCATCTTATGAAGTTTGCCAGACTGTCCCCATATCCTAGTGTTTAAGGGAGCCGGATCCCACAGAGTGGAGCATAATTTGAATCCCAGCCCTGGTACTTTTAAAAACACATCAGGTGCATGTGTGTGCATGTTCAAAACCTCAACAGGATAGAGGAATGGAAAATGGCCTACTGTGTGACCAAGCCCCATTGCAGGGTGTTTATTCTCTCACCCTCTCCCTCCCTCTCTGTCTCTCTGTTCCTCTCTGACAAGTGCATGTGCCCTCTGGAAAATAAATGTTTTAAGAATTATCTTATTTGTTTTAAGAATTATCTTACTTAACGTTAATTATTTATTTAAATTGGATCAGGACATAGCGAGGGTGAGAGAGGGAGGGGAAGTGAGAAAGCAAGCCACCAGGTCTGGGACTTGAACAAAGTTCAGTCATGTGGGAGTCCAGGCCCTTAAACACTACACCACCTGCTGGCACCCTGGCAAATAATTTTTAAAAATGTAAAATGCCTACATTTAAATAAACAAGCTCAGGTTCACTTTAGAACTTAATAAAGCCAAAAAACTGATAACTGGATTGAAACTGTGACACATATATACTATGAAATATTTTTACTCAGCCAAAAGAAACAATGAGACCCTATCATTTGGTTCAAAGTAGAAAAATATAGAAGACTTAATGTTGAGTGGTGTGACCAGACTTTGAAAGATACATACTGTATATCACCACTCAGTTTGAACCAAATATCTGCACTCTATGGCAGAAATGGAAAGATCTGAAGATATGACAGTAGACAGGATAAGCGTAGACACCAGACTGTAAGGGAGGGGAATGTGTGGTAGATGGTAGGTGTAACATGCAAAGAGAAGAAATATTTAACAGGCAAAAAAATAAACACGGAGAAGTTCTGTTGGGAAAGAGAGAGAGAGAGAGAATACATGATGATGGGGACTTTATGTAATATGTGAAATCTGAAAAAAAATTAAATTAATTTAATTTTAAAAAGGTAATAAAGCCACGGGGAACTTATACCTTGAGATCCAGCTTGGTGTTAACTGGATCCTGAAGTTCAGACTCTATGAAAGCACTTGATTCTGACTTCACATTTTGCAGAATGTCCTCAGGTGGCACTTTCATTGCATGGTTATCTGCAGTAGATCCAATTCCAAAAAAATCCAGTATCACCACCCAGGTTTGCAGTGTGATCAGCACATCCAAGCAGTTAAAATCAACATCAATGCTCCGGTTAACTCGATTGTAAATGGAAGAAAATTCCGGATGTTTCTTATCCACCAAGAATATATTGATGTGGACCAAGGAATCATCAAATTTACTCTTTCCAGTAAGTATCTTGGGCTCATCCACTGATGGAGAAGGAGGTGGGGTTAAGGGGTAGTCCTTATCTTGGACTTCCTTTTGCTTTTTCCGGGATGCAGAGGTGGGTCTTTGATATAACTGAAAGACATTCGGAGCTTCTTCCATGTGGGAAGGGAGAGACCGAGGCATATCAGGATACTCCACGTTGGATACTGAAGGGCAAGACTGAGAAAGATATTCTTTTTGTGCTAAACTAGACGGCTTAGGAGCTCCTCGAGACACCATCAGGTTCTTGTATTTGGAATCTGGATTTTTCTCCAATAAGTCTTCCATCAGCAGAGAGCGCAGGGCAATCTGAATGGATAAAGTCTGAGGATGGTCTTTACTGAATTCCACCTCAAAATCCTGAAACTTTAAGCTCACAAGACCTTGGGCTCCCAGAGTCAGATCTCCACTTAGCTGAACTTGAAGCTCTGATATACAAAAGTTGGCTTGAATCTGAGTAAAGGATTTGACTTCCTTCACAGACAAGGACTTTTGAGAGGTGTTAGAAAAGCTGGAGTGGCTGAACAGTCCATTCTCCTTCCTTTCAATAGAAGGCTCTCCACAGGTACTAAGGGAAGGCAGTGGAGAATGAGGGCCAGGGGAGGAGGCAGCACTGGCTGGAAACTTATTCAGATCTTCACTATACACAAGATTGTCCAGCGTTTGTAAAACCTGCTCATACACATGCTTTGCTAATACCACCTGTATCAAGAGAAACTTTCAGTTACTTCACTAGTATCATAAACTGCACTCAAATGCAACACTCATTCATGTTCACATTAGACATTTATAGGTTTCCCTACCAGGTGACAAGCTGGTTCATAGCAAGGACTCTTATCTCTTTTATTTTCTTTTTTGTCCTTACCTCTTTCTGCCCCATTTCTATTCACAAGGCCCTCATTACCTCACAGAATAGCCTCCATACCAAGTGTTCAGTAAGTGTATATGCTGAATCAGCAAAGTCACTCTTTCTTTCTTTTTTTTTTTTTTTTTGAGAGGTCCTTGCTATAGGGCGCGTGCCCTTGCCAGACAGACAGAAAGAGACATAGAGACAGAAAGCGAGAAATCACACCCCAGGGGGGATGGCCACGCCACAATCCCTTCTCCTCCAATCTCTTCTAGGGATCTTAGGCACGCACGCACACACGCCCGGCGTGAGTTCTAAGCCACCGGGTCCGGGACGCGAACCGTGGTCGACTACGTGAGAGTCCAGCGACATAGCCATTACACTAACTGCTGGTTCCCCAAAGTGGCTCTTTCTAACTCCACAGCAGTAAATGCAGAAATTAGTGCAACAACCTATGTAATACTGTTAGTAGATTTTAAATAATGATGATGACCTATGACTAGTCATGTTTCCTTCATCTCTGCTTTTTGGGGTTTTTTTAGGTTTTTGTCATAGGGCATGTGCACTTGCTGGGAGAAACAAAAAATTTGTAAGTGAGAAATCATCCCCCAGGGAGGATGGCCATGTTACAACCCCTTCTCCTCCATTCTCCTCTTGGGATTTTGAGCATGCGCATGCACATGCCAAGCATGATTTTCAAGCCACCAGATCTGGGACTCGAACTGCCATCAGCTATGTGTCAGTCTAGTGCCTAAACCACCATGCCTTTGGTTTTAATTATAATTTCTTATTAAAATATTTTCAGACAATATTTTTATTTAATTAAAGTCATCTTTTCAAAAGAAATTCTAACCAATAAATGTAGAAATACTGATAAAATCAGAAAGTGAAAGACCATTTTGTAATGCCTAGTTAAAGAATTTATTCCATCAAAGTTTCTCAGAGGAATAAATCATTCTATAAGTGACTGAAAAGGACCTTCATAATAAAGGGCTCAGGCTCTTGCCACCTAACACAATTATCAATTTTAGCATCACTAACAGAGACAGCCAGACTATTACATGCCTCTGGAAATAACGTAATATGACGTACATAGCACTACTTTTGAGGTGGTATAGCAAAAGAAAAACAATTCGATTAAATGTAAACTGGAATTCAATTAAACATGTACAATTTAATTTACAGGAAATATGGGAGAATGAGTCAAGTGGCAGACAAATAGCCAAGAGCAAAATCGAAAATGTGGTATGTTCTATAGGGCAACTGAACTAGTTTCCACAACGACAACAAAAAATGGATGGCAAGAGAAAGAGGGAAATTAGGCTAATAAAGAGCTAAAAGATATATCATCCAAATGAATGTGTGGACCTGATTCAAACAAACCAAGAGTTAAAGATATTTTGAGATAATAAAAATGTTTCTGAAATCTAAAGGTGCATTCAGTATCAAAATTTAAATACAGGGACCAGCAGACGGCATGATGGTTACATCACTGGACTCCCACATAGTCGATCACAGTTCAAATCCCAAACTTAGAGGCTTAAAACTCACATGAGGCACATATGCATGCATGCCCAAGAGGAGACTGGAAGAGAAGGGACTATGGCATGGCCATTCCCCTAAGAGGTGATTTCTCTCTTTCCATCTCATTGTCTCTGTCTCTCTCTCTCTGGTGAGTGCATGTGCCCTAAGGATAAAAATCTCTATTAAAAAAAAAAAGACAAGGGTCCACTATCCTAAGATCTCGCCTATGTCTTTGTTGTTTTATAATGTAATGCTCTTTGCCCTACTCCCTCTGAGGTCAGGAAAAATGACACTTTTTTTTTCATCTGCCAACGTGTGTGTGCACTCACTGGGAAAGACAAAGGGGAGAGAGAAAGAGAGAAGACATTCCCCATGGGGATAGTCTTGCCGTAATCCCTTCTCCCTCTGTTCAGGATTTTGCGTACATATGCATATGCACCTGCTGTTTCTCAAGCTGCTAGATCTGAGACTTGAACCACTCAGTCAGCCATGTGGGATCCAGCTCACATAACCACCAGGCTACGAGCTATCCCACAAAAAAAAAAAAAAAACAAAAAAAAAAAACAAAAAACTTTTAAAGAAAAAAGGAAAACAAAAGTAA